TCCCGGCATTAATGTCCTGGTCGTTTTCGCTGCACGGAATGCTGATACCGCGTAACTCTGCTTCAGAGTCTAATCATGCAAATGTATGAGCCGTTAATTAAAACCGATGCAAACTATATTTTGCCAGGATGTGAAAGAAGAAAAGAGAAAATCGGATATTTTTGCATCGCACTACTGTAGTAGCGCGCGTGAGGCTTTGTCGGTCTTCGAGTGAATACTTATGCAACTATATCGATATAGCGATCGTAAATAACGTACAAATTGCATGCTGCAATGCAATTCTCGACGAATCCGCACCTAGTCTTTTTGACGTGGAGAACGTAAAAGAGTCGTTGCCGCAATCGTACATTATGCATATTTTTATGTCATAAAAAATCACGCTACAACGATACGATGATTGGACTGTTTTAATGCTTTTTTATGCAGTATTTCTTGTTTTCACACAGAATTCTAATGATACTTTAATATATTTAAACTTTTTTGAACAAAAATGCTTCTTAAAATAAAATTTTAATTTTATCAAATTCTGTGCATCTGTAATTATATAAAAATAAATTTATTTATGTACATATAATATTTTTATATAACACGACTTTTCTAAAAGATTTGTCTGTTCGAAAAATTGTCCATAGTGTTTGGAATAGGAAATCATTTATAGAAATTATATATATAATAATTTGACAAGAAATTTCTCATTCTTCAGAGAAGATGTCAATAATTATTTTCTTCAATGTTTTAATTAATAAACGCGGTCACTATTAAAACGTGGTGAGTGCAATAAAATCAACCGTGTCTATTTTTGATCACGCACTGAATCACACAGAGCATTCTGCGGTTAGATGGCAACAAATGAATTAAACGAATTCGCAGAATTCCCAGTAAAACGATTGCCTTTCAAGATGCTTTAGATAGTTGTTGGATTTCCAAATATAGCCACCTAATTTCTGATCAGTTTAACGCACAAGTTTAGCAAAAATATCCCAATTTCTACATAAAAATTGTTCCAGCGAAAACTTTATGTATGACTAGTATTTATCGAGTTAATTTTTGAATATAAAAGATTTGATAACTTTTATAATTATTTGACAAAAACGACGACAGGCAATGTCGACGTAAAATACAGTTTTTCTTATCTATAGCGCTGAAAATCAGATTTTGCATTGAGATTTTGCTACAAACTTACATTACAAGATCTATAATTCTATGTTAATTTAATTATTCTTTGTTCTTGGCATACGGCGGAGCTTGTTTCGCAGTTACCGACTTAATTATTCATTCGGCTCATTAAACATTATCAAATTAATCGCGAGCATAAATTAAAGATCGCGATCCTACTGTCCACGCAGTGGTGTGAATGCACGCATTCGCCATTCTTACTCACGAATAATATAGTGCCGCAATAATTATGAGCGATAAATACGGTAGATATTAATGTTGTCCCGCGATAATTGCGATCTCGCCGGCTTGCGCGCGCGCGCGAAAAACACGTGTTAAACGCAATACTGTAACATTTAATTACAGAAAATCATCGGCAAATCGTTTCGCACTAGTGAATATTCTATGTATCCGATTATGAAAATGTGATAACTCGAATTAATAATAAACGAGCTCACGAACGCCGCACGTGGAAAAGACTTGTCGATTTCTATAAATGCATCATTGACTCTTGATAGTACAACATTTCTGGGATTATAACATTTACCTATCACATATCTCATTCCGAAAATAAAAGAACATAATATTTACATCTAATGAAAGAAAAACGCGAATTGTCATTACAATATATTCATGAAATAAGGATGAAATAAGTCTTAAATATAATAAATTTAGAAAGAATTAAGAAAATAAATAATAATTTTAGTTTATCTAAGTTATTTTAATATAAAAGTTTAGTAAGAGATAATCGCAGATAATTTATGTTTGGAATCCCACATGCGTACGTGATTTTCTTGCTTTAGAAAATTATTTAAAGAAATCTAAAAGCCAAATGTTTATATTATCATAGTTCTTTAAATGTTAGAAAATTCCGGTAGCATATACTACAAATAAGATAAGCGATAAAGTTTCATGTTTGCTGTTAAATAATTATGGCTTGTCGTGACAATTTGCATCTCAGATTAACATTATCGTTCACTGTGCACGCGACTTGAGGCGACATTAGCATTTACCATAAGGAAAGTTTCATCACATTAGGGCAGTTTCATCGCATTAGATGAGCAGTATCGACAATAATGTAAAGTATTACCAAAGTTTCTTCAGACTTATTCTGATATTTCTTATTAGTTTGAAAAAAAAACAGGATAATTTTCATGCATTGAATATATTGTATCTTTCCACAAGTTTCTTCAGTTCATACTGTTTTGCTTTGATTATCCACGATCAACTTTTACTTAAAAACGGTTAAGACGATGCATAAAAATGACGTTTCAGAGTTTACTTATTATAAAAGCGTTTTATTTACTGCAAATTATTGAAAAAGTACTTGCGAAACAGACAACTTTTGAATCGATCTTTATGATCCACGTTGCAACGCGCCTCGCTACTCCGATCCATAAATTACACAAACTTTAAATGATGCTCAGCTTATCACACGATAAAAAGATTTTATTTATTTTCGATAATTAAACGCGCGGGACATTTGTAAAATAATTTTAACGCTATTAATGGCGTAATAATGTTGCATCATGGAATAAAGCTATTTCTTATCGTAGTAAGTTTTTGTTGAAGAATAAAATGAATACGAGGGAAGATATGACACAATATTCAATATACCTCGATCAGTTTGCCATTAGATTTTAAAAATCCCTACAGTATACAGCATTCGGCTCGAAGTATTCTGTGTTACGTTTTGCTAAATTAGTTTAATATTATTTGCACTTTAATGTGAAGCACTTGATTCAACCATTTGGGACATATATTTTTCATTGCAAACGGATTTTACTAAAAGCTTTTGCCGCTGGTTTTTTTTATTCCGCTTTATAATTTAAAATTTAAGATGTAAATCTGTTTAAATAATTGTCAAAGTGTTACATTTTGTTATAAGCAATATTTACCTAAATATGTTACGATAATTTTATAATGCATAGTATGAAAATGCTAAGAAAATGTAAATTTGAAAATAAAAGTTAAAGCACACATACTAAATGTCACATTATCTCCCGACAAGCACAATCGTGAAAATGAAGCTATTTCAAACCGAACGAGAGTAGCTCCATAGCTAATTGTCGATTCGTTCCATTGCTAATTTTGATTCCACGATTATTTTAGCAATTGTATGAAATACAAATACCAAATTAAAGAAATTTGAAGAAATATGAGATAGGTAAATTTGAAAGAAAATATATATTAATTTTTAGTTCAGTTGTGCGACGCGAGGTGATTAAATCATAGGCATAGATTTGAAAGAAAAAACCTGCTAATAGATACCGGGAAAATAAACCAGGTTAGATCATATCGAACACTGATCGAGATTGCTTATTGCGACAACCGTACCGCGAAAATAAATGAGATTTTGAAAAAAAAACCTTGTGATTATCAAATAAAAATTATTTCAAACGTTCCTTACTTAAAGTACACCACATCATCTCTTTTCCTTTAGAAATTTATGCAAGCGTTTAAAATTTATTAAAAAAATAATTCGAAAAAGAAAAGTAAATTATTTTTTAATCACGATGTGTACATTAACATATCTATCGTATCGTATCGCATCTGTCTTTCGATTGAATAATTTTGCGAGGACGCAGCAAAATAACGAATATGAGAAGATGATTATTTGTCAATCTGATTACACGACATGCGCGCAATGAAATAATGCTGAAGTTAATCACCAAGTAGATGGACTTTTTAACATTGATTTAAACAGCGACAATAGTGAGCTGTGCCAATCATCCTTAATTGGCGGAAAATCATAGTTTATTGCCAAATAAAAGATTGAGCAAGATAAAGTAGGATTAATCAGTCGTGATAAGAGAATAAAATTGATACTCACTATTTTTCTATTTCAATTAGTTATTTAAATATTTACTTTATTATATATATGTGAATTATATAATTATATAACAAGAAGCTACGTCAAACTTGAGCTGGATATTTATTGCTCAACAAATTCTTTAAACGAGAAAATTACAAACGTTTCGGCCACTAAACATTTTGGCCATCATCAGTGTAACAATTGAATCACAATAATATACGTGTGTACAATTCTTACAAAGTTAACGGTTACAACAGGTAAATAATTTCCTAAGAACTGTACACGCGTATATTATTTTAATTCAATTGTTACATTGATGATGGCCGAAATGTTTAGTGGCCGAAACGTTTGTAATTTTCTCGTTTAAAGAATTTGTTGAGCAATAAATACCCAGCTCGGGCTTGACGTAGCTTTTTATTATGTTTTTAAGAATTGTAATTTTCTAAAAAAGTCCTTATTACTGATTTAATTTTATCAGAATTATATAATTATATTATCAGAAATATCACGTTCGTATTTATTCTAATGTCACAATTTTCTTTGCCGATTTTACATTTTAATTCATTTTTCACGCAAAGAGAATAAAGACAATTTGTTGCACGTATATATGAAAGTCCGAATAAAGATAGATGGAGAATGGAATATCATTTTGCGGCCGTATTTTTTATATTCGGTACCTAGATGAGACGACGTAAATTTTGTTGAATATGGATTTATGTAAATTGATCAATGTTGTCAAGCGCATATTCAGAGAGTGAGTCTTTGCATAGAATTTATATTACGTTTTTATTAGAATTATATTATAAGTCCAGTTGAAAGGTACAGTTTTGCTATTACAACATTTTTATATGTATGAGCTATCGAATAAAACTGCAATAAAATAAGAGTTATGCAGCACGAACGGTAACTAACGTTTTTTGTGAATTATAAATCGTTGCGTCACGCAGCTTCTTAACCATGTACTTCGGCGAGTCTCAAAAGGAATAGATATTCACAAGAGACAGGAAAAAAAAAAGAATCGTGTACTCACTCTGCGTGGGATCGGCGGACTCCTCCTGTATGTTCACCGGTGAGATTTTCAATGATCTTGGAGGGCCCTGAAAGCCGATGGGCCCGGGCCCCCCGGCTGCGCCCACCCGCTGCATTACGCCGGCACCCCCTATTTCCGCAGCTCTACCACTCCTGCGCACCTCGCGCGACGGTTTTCGAGCAATCTTGAAGCCTTCGTACCGACCACCGCGGCCGTATCCTTTAACACGCAAAACTTCCGACGATGTCCACACCCTTCGGAACGCTGCAGAAACACTAAGGGTCCAACTGTTTCAGATATATGACGGATATGCGCGGAATTTTGCCTTGAATTTCCTTGCTCCGCCGAGTCTCAATAGCGAAACTGAATGAACCCTCGTGATTAAGGAATTTTCGAAGAACAAATTAACTACAAGCGTCCGATATTGATATCCAAATCAGAGCTCACATTGTTGAGAACGGATTATTCGAATCAGATGTTTATTGATGAGTTTCGATGAAACTCGCGCACAGAATTAAATGGCCCGACTGCGGGTGTGGTTAATGCTCCAGTATACCAATTTCTCGTTTCGTCGCAAGCCCGCGGATACTTTCACGACTTCGTCGCTTCGTCGGGAGTTCTCTCAATTTACCTGGCAAGGTAGATCGGTGATCGGCCTTGTTTTTACTCTCGTTTCGTCATCGATTCTATCACTTTATTTCTTCAGAATCTTTTTCTTGAATTATCGCACGTTTTCGCGATCACCATATCTATCGACTTATCTTGCAAATTCAACGAGCGACCGTCAAACGAGGAGTACGATCAAGCTGTAACAATATTCTTGATCTTTGCGATTGATTTGACTCCAAAATCATCAATCGCAGTTCCTTACCGATACATCCGAATACGTCGCGACACTTGAATACCGGTGCGCGATTCTAGTCTTATCACTCACAACCGGCGGATAATCGGCGGCACGTGAAGGAAAAACAAATTCACTATTGAGGCCCGTGAGATACAGACGGGTAGAACGACAACGGACACCGGTGCGAGCGAGCAAAAGAAACAATCATTGTGGTAAAAGGCGAACGAGACGCCGAGAAAGACCCGTCGGAAGAGGGACGAAGAAGGATGAGGGGGGCAGGTGAAAAGTGAGAAAGAAAGGGGAAGCACCGAAAGGAGGAGAGAGGGAAAAAGATAGAGGGAGAGAGAAAAAGAGAAGAGGAGAGGAGAGACGCACGGTTGCACGGAACTACCCCGACGAAACTAACGACGCGGGGCCCTGGGAGCCACTGACTGTCGGTTTAGGTGTCTCGCTATAGTCTGCTCGAAGGATTCAACCCAACCTTACCGGGCTGCTCGATCCCACTATCCGGCTCTCTCACTCTCGTCGCCGTCAACGGCCCCATCACCCCACTAAAAACCCCCGGCACAGACTGTAACCTTCCCTCCACCTTCGGTCGTTCGCGCTCGCACGTCCTATCGAACGCGAGAGAGCGGCACACGACCCCGAACGATTCGTCCCCGCAGCGGAGTCGACGCCGTCCGCATCCACGCCTCCGCGGCCCCGGCGAACCGGCAACAAAATGGCCGACGTGGTGGCCACCTAATCGATTCGCGTGCCTATCCTCTCCTCCGGCCTCCTCCGCGACTCCTCGCATCCTTTCACCTCCCGCCGCACACGTCCACTTCCACCTCGGCGCGCTCTCCTCCCACCTAGCTCGCACTCTCTCTCTTCCTTCCCGCCTCTCCTTGCGTCTCTCTCACCTACGCGTCTTCCTTCTTTCTGCCACCCTTCTTTGTACGCCCCCAGTCGCCCTTCGTTGTTCCTTTGTCTCGTCTCTCTCTCTC